TTGCAATTGGCCATTCCTCTAAAATGCATGGCTACCCTGTTCTAGACTGAGCAAAATCTGTGCATCCTCTAACATTATTTCCAAAATTTTCACTGACAATCAGAAATTCACCAATAATGTTACAGGGATAGTGTCCCTGAAGGTAGAAAGACTAAAAATCCCCTTTTATCTGTGGATTCATTTGAAACTATTGTACAAAGTGAGATCAGACATGGTCCACCTGTTGACTGATAGGCAAAAGAATCTCTAAAAGCCCAGTCCTACCATGATATGCCAGTCATGTAGTACTACTGGGGAGGTGACTGAGGCTTCTGCTTGTCCAATTTTGTGGGATTCTTTTCGGCTTGTTCTTCCTGAGACCGTGGAGGAGGTCCTTGGGGCTGTGAGGGCGACCACTTCGGCCCTAGACCCTTGCCCATCCTGGCTTATTAAATCTGCCAAGGAGGGGTTGGTTGATTGGTTTGTGTTGATCATTAACGCATCGTTGGAGCAAGGGATTTTTCCATCTAACTTGAAACAGGCTGTGGTTCGTCCACTCCTAAAGAAGTCATCCCTTGACTCTACGGTGCTGAACAATTACAGACCAATCTCCAATCTCCCTTTTTTGGGTAAGGTGCTGGAGCGGGTGGTTGCCTCCCAGCTCCAAGGCTTTTTAGATGACATCAATTACCTAGATCAGTCACAGTCTGGTTTCAGGCCTGGTCATGGCACCGAGACAGCCTTGGTCGCCTTGGTGGATGACCTCCGTAGAGGACTGGACAGGGGGAGTGTGACCCTGCTGGTTCTCTTGGACATCTCAGCGGCTTTCGATACCATCGATCATGGTATCCTTCTGGGTCGCCTCTCTGGGATGGGTCTTGGGGGCACGGTTCTGTCGTGGCTCCGGTCCTTCCTGGAGGGACAGACCCAGATGGTGAAGCTGGGAGATGCCTGCTCGGATCCCTGGCCCTTGACCTGTGGGGTCCCGCAAGGCTCTATCCTATCTCCCATGCTTTTTAACATCTACATGAAACCGCTGGGAGAGGTCATCCGGAGTTTTGGAGTTGGGTGCCATCTCTACGCAGATGACACACAACTCTACTACTCTTTTCCACCTAATTCCAAGGAGGCCTCTCGGGTGCTAGACGAGTGCCTGGCCACTGTGTCTATCTGGATGAGGACGAACAAGCTGAAGATCAATCCCGACAAGACAGAGGTCCTCCTGGTCGATCGTAAACCAGATCGGGGTATAGGGTGGCAACCTGTGTTGGACGGGGTTACACTCCCCCTGAAACCACAGGTCCGTAGCTTGGGAGTCCTCCTGGACTCATCGCTCACGCTTGAGGCTCAGGCGTCAGCGGTGGCGGGGAGGGCTTTCGCACAACTGAGACTTGTGCGCCAGCTACGACCGTACCTCGCTAAGGCTGATCTGGCCGGGGTGGTCCACGCCTTAGTCACTTCCAGACTGGATTACTGCAACGCGCTCTACGTGGGGCTGCCCTTGAAAATGGCTCGGAAACTCCAATTGGTCCAACGGACAGCAGCCAGGATGCTAACTGGGGCCCATTACAGAGAGAGGTCAACCCTCCTGTTTAAGGAGCTCCACTGGCTGCCGTTTATTTTCCGAGCCCAATTTAAGGTGCAGGTGCTTACCTACAAAGCCCTGAACGGTTTGGGACCACCCTACCTGCGTGAGCGTAACGTTGTCTACGAACCCACACGTTCACTCCGGTCATCTGGGGAGACCCTGCTCGTGATCCCACCCGCGTCACAAGCGCGCTTGGTGGGGACGCGAGACAGGGCCTTCTCTGTGGTGGCCCCCCGCCTCTGGAATGCCCTCCCGAAAGATCTCAGACAAGCCCCTACATTGGCAGTCTTCAGAAAGAATTTGAAAACCTGGCTGTTCCAATGTGCCTTTTCAGACTAGAAACCCCAGTACCAAATCCCAGAAGCACTTTAGTTAGAACCAAGATCACCGCACACCGCACACCACACTTATATTATAATCCCATATCCCTCCGACACATCAGCACTTTTAATCCTGTACCTCTACTCCGGCCAGCTCAGTTTTAATAATGTCTTGTTGTACTGCTATTGATATTGTTTTTGCTAAACTGTTTTATTTGCTAGGTACTGTATTGTTGTATTGTGTGGGCTTCGGCCTGATGTAAGCCGCATTGAATCCCTTGGGAGATGCTAGCGGGGTACAAATAAAGTTATAATAATAATAATACTGAATATATTCCTCCCCATACTCCAGAATATATCAGATTTCAGAAGTGTAGTTCTAACTGTGGCACATTGTTGTTGGGAGATGATGGGGCGACAGAATGTGAACTCTGGAAACCCATGCTAGATACTTTGGTCAAGGATTCAGAAGGACTATGCCATAGACATAATGTTCATCAAGCCACTTTAAAGTCGCTATGAGTCTCCTTGTGGAGATAAAAAATGGAGTATAAATAAACATAATAACAATAACAACCGTAGCTATCTATTTTCAACTGAGTTAGGACACTACCAGGCTTGGCTTCCGTAGGGGCCAGCGGTGACCTCGTATAATGTCAAAATAGGGAAATAAGAATGTGCACATAAGGAGACAAATGGAGAAGAGTACCTATTGCTAATCTGCAAAGCTTAGATAAATTTGACAACCAGTATGAATCGTGTGTGTGGAGGAACACTGCTAGGAAGAAAATTCTTTAGATTCTGCTTGTAATGGACACAAAACATAATTACTTCGGACAAAATGTATACGAAATATTAGTTAAACAGTAGTATTTTTATAAGAAACTGTGAGAAATATTAGTCAATTTATACTCTGCTATTATTCCAATATGGAGCCCAAGTCAGCTCAGAAAACAAGTTCAGAAAACTACAAAACTTATTATCTTAAAAAAGGCATTATTCCATCACATAGTATAGTATTTTAATTCATATTGAGTTGGCTTTGCCATTGTATCAAGCTGCTACAGTTACCTGTTTACAAAAAACGGCGGGATAAATCTAAAAGAAATTTAAATTCTTCTAAAGCTCAATCAGTAAAGCCTGCCCTTTCCTTATATATGTGTTGGTGAAAGTGAAGGCTCTTTCCCTGACTTGTGTTTGGCTAGAGTTTCAGGGGAGGTAGGGTCGGGGTGGGGAGAAGCTCTGGCTATTCACAGCGAGGTGCATTGTTAAATCTCATACTATCACTTTGACATTTAGAGGTAGGACTCAGTGTCTTTGTAAATTCTTCTTCTTCATATTACTTCCATGTCTCTGGGCTCCAGCCGTTTCACAAACCATAATATTTTTTAGTGAGTGATTGATCTGTATTATGTGTCTCGGCCATCAGAGGAATCTTGAGATGTTTCTTGTATAAACTGTAATACAATCTGACACTGGGCATTTGGTTACAGGCTTTCATAGACCTATTGGCGATACACAATCCTCCTGGATTTGGGCATAAGGCTTATCTGATACTTTCCCAAAAAAGCCCCTCTTTTTCTCTCTTCCCCACTTAAATAACACATCTGGGTTAACACTGTAGGATCATTGTCCTTTCAGTTCTCCAGCAGCTCATATTGCTACAATATTTCCTTAGGTATCTGATTACTGAAAGGGCAAGAAGATATTTTTCCCTTCCAAAATGAGGCTGTTCTTTTATAGTGCAGTGCAAATTAATTCCTAGCATCTCTTTTGAGAGCATTACTTTTCATTGGTACAATTTGCAAGGGTGTGTGTGTATATATATGTTTTAAGAGTGCAAATCAGTGCATGTTTACGCTGAAGTAAATCTCATTATTTGGGACTTTCCCAAGAATAAGCTTTAGCCTAACCATAGTAAGGTTGGGAGAATTTTCCAAAGAAAATTTAAGGTTTATAAAGAATGTTGAGAGGTTACTGTGGAGACAGGAATTTATCTTCAGTTATGAGAATGATTGAAAAATGAAATGCAATCATTTAATTCAACAAGAAATGTTGGAATTGGGTGGAACCCCAGTTATGAAGAGGGTAAACCTGTGAATCAGGAATGATAGCCTAAGTTGTACCTGCTTCATACGCTTATATATATATATCGAGAGAGAGAGAGTGTCATGTCAGGAGCGACTTGAGAAACTGCAAGTCACTTCTGGTATGAGAGAATTGGCCGTCTGGAAGGATGTTGCTCAGGAGACGCCCGGACATTTTAGCAATTGTGTTGTTTTAAATATATAAATCCTAGAATTGTGTTGCTGTTAAGGGAGTTCACATACATACCTCTATTTTCACCAGTAGTTCTAGTGAGGCTATGGTTGTTGTTGTTTTTCACTTGTGTGAATATAATTCAGGATTTGGGGCTTTTTGGCTTTATAGTGTGAGCCATCTGAGAGTCATTTGCTAAATGGGATCTGTGTAGTCCCATGTTGCTGAAGCTTTCATTTTGTTGTTGTTGTTCATTCGTTCAGTCGTTTCCGACTCTTCATGACCTCATGGACCAGCTCACGCCAGAGCTCCATGTCAGCTGTCACCACCACCCAGCTCCTTCAGCGTCAAGCCAGTCACTTCAAGGATACCATCCATCCATCTTGCCCTTGATTGGCCCCTCTTCCTTTTTCCTTCCATTTTCCCCAGCATAATTGTCTTCTCTAAGCTTTCTTTTCATAGCAGAGCATTATTGTTGATCTAGAGGGCAAGCATCTAACGATAACTGTGGTGTATTGCCAGTGTGTTAGAATGAACTGTATAGATTAACTAATTATGCACTCTGGTTTTGTTTTATTTTGCATTTGTTTTTTTTAAAGACTCCCAGAGAAAGATATTATAATATATACATACCTAACAGTTGGTTTCGTTTATGCTTTTTTAAAGAAAAAAGGGGGCATTACATTAATGCTGTTTAAATTAAATTGAAATGTGGTAGGAAGGGGAAATAATATGCTTGAGGCTTCAATATAAAGGTTCTTCTTTGTTAATGCCTCCTGCTGCTCTTTTAGCTTAGAGCACTCTAGCAGATCTGTAATTAATCATCCCACTTAAAACTGCTCTTTTTCTTTCAGGTTGTAGAGATCATTTCAAGTGCCATTGGTGATTTAGTACAAGGAATATATTATGAAAATTCATATTTAGCAGAGGTAAGTTTCAGCCTTCCATCAAACTGTATTCTGATATATATAAAAACTTTTACAAAACTGAATTAAGCTAAACTACAACAGAAGCTGAATTGATATTGTATTTATTTATTTATTTATTTATTTACTTATTTCGTATATTTCTATCCTGCCCTTCTCCCCACAAGGGGGACTCAGAGTGGCCTCACACAAGCATCAGAAGATGCTAGCAACATAAATACAATAAAATACAATTTTCAATAAAATCATTTTAAAACATTATACAACATCAGCAATAAATTTAACGTACCAGTAAAACCAAAAACCAAGCTGGGAGAATCCATATCACAAAAACCAAAATTCCTTTTCCTATTGCAGCTGGCCTCTAATCAAATGCCTGGCCCTAGAGCCAGATCTTCAGTTGTCTTCTAAAGGACAGGAGGGAGGTGGCTAACTTGAAATCCTTAGGGAGAGAGTTCCACAGACGGGGGGCCACTACAGAGAAGACCTTGTCTCTTGTCCCCACCAACCGCATTTGCGAGAGTGGTGGGATCGAGAGCAGGGCCTCTCCTGACGATCTTAAGCTTCGTGATGGTTCATAGCAGGAGATACGTTCGGACAGGTAATCTGGGCCAGAACCTTTCAGGGCTTTAAAGGTTAAAACCAGCACTTTGAATTGTGCCCAGAAGCTGATCAGCTGCCAGTGGAGCTGGCGCAACAGAGGAGTGGTACACTCCTGTACGCCACTCCGGTTAACAACCTGGCTGCCGACCGCTGGACTAATTGGAGCGTCTGAGAAGTTTTCAAAGGCAGCCCCACGTAGAGAGCTGGGCTGCACGATTTCAGAAACTACAGATAGGTGCATCAAATGCTGAATGTTTTGCCTTATAAAGTATGTTCATCATTTTCTCTCTCCACATGTATTGTATTTGTAAAGACTTTGCAGGGGAAGTTCATTCATTCTGTTCTGCTTGTATAGTAACATAGAAGCAGCTGCATTACTACATTTTAGTTATCTGTACTAGTATTCAGATTAAACAAATAGAGTTCCCATTGTACTCCAGAGCAGAATCACCTCTAACTTTAAACACCACATCAGCTGGGTAAAATCAGCAAGTGGTTTATTTAAAAATATAAGAAGCCAAAGCAGTAAAAAGTAATCCACAATAAGAAGTAATCCAATTGATATAAAAGAAGACAGGAACCAAGAGTCCAAAGAAATCCATGAAACTAGTCACATGATCCATCAACAGAACAGGAACATAAGCACTTGAATAAACATGAGCCAGGCAGACCTTGATGCTGGAAACTTAGTGTTAATCCAACGTTGCAATGTCTCTCACAAATCACTTATAAACCCTGCCCTAATTCCAAAACAGCTAGGAATAGATTCTTTCTTAGTTTTAGTTTCACATCCAACTTCTGTTGGCGTTTAGCTGAGAGTTTTAATTGCTGCCCGTTTGTCTCTGTTTACTGAACCATCTTTTCCTATTCAAGGTCTCACTCCCCTCATTAACTCCTGCACTTGGGACCTCAAAATCAACTTCATTCTCAGATAACTGATCAGGGAACTGCTCAGGACCTTGAGAATCCTCTTGCAGCAACGCAGGCCTCTGTGACCTGTTTTTTAAACTCCATTCAGGCCCTTGCAGTAACTAGGCCTTTCTGGCCTCTCATCCCCAGACCCTGGCCCAGAAGCTGAATCAACACCCCTATTCCCTTCAGGAACATTGGCATGCACATCACCCCCATTCCCATCATGAAAATCAACATGATCATTAGACACAATCACAGGCTGACACACAACAGTTCCATTCTTTTTCCTCATATGTGTTAGAGGTCTATTGGAACAGTTGGCATGCTTAGCAGTCCTTGAACCAGCACTGGAAGATTTGGGTAATTCAGGAAATGACTAGGAAAGAGGAAGAATCAAACTAAACATTTTGCCTTTGACACTGTTTATTTTATTTATTTGCCACATTTATATCCTGCCCTTCCCATCCTGGAAGGGGACTCAGGGTGGCTCATAGCAAAGGCACAGTTTGATGCCTTAAATACATATAAAATAAACAACATATACTTTAAAATCACATAATTAAAACATATCACTTAAAAACATTACTTAAAATCACATAATCCAAAAACATATTTGAGGGGCCATTCTGATTGTAATTGGCAATGTTCATTATTGCACTAAGAAATCATTGTTGCATTGGGAGTCATTGTTCAAACGCTTGGTCCCACAGCTGGGATTTGACTTTCTTCCTGAAGGTCAGGAAGGAGGGGGCTGATCTAATTTCCCTGGGGAGGGAGTTCCATAGCAGAGGGGCCACCACTGAGAAGTCCCTGTTTCTCATCCCCACCAGTCACTCCTGTGAGGGAGGTGGGATTGAGAACAGGGCCTCCCCGGACAACCTTAGCCTTCAGAGGTTGTCTCAGGATGGTTCATTAGGGGCCGGAACTGTTTAGGGCTTTATAGGCTAAAGCCAGCACTTTTGAATTGTGCTCGGTAGCAGACTGGTAGCCAGTGGAGCTGGCATGACAAGGGGGTTGTGTGCCACAGGTAGCTGCCCCAACTTAATTATTAGCAATCCATCTCCCAGTTTGTTTTACATTGAAACTATTGGTCTGTGTAGCTCAATATTGTGCACACAATATTGGACAGTTGGACCATGTATTTTCTGCATAAAAAGCTTGTAGTTATTCACATAGCATATGATCTAGTTCACAGTTTTCCTGGGAAATTATTTTATGTCACTCAAACCCCAAGTGAGAATTACAGGTCTAGATCAATAGAATGGACACAAATGTGGGAACGTGGTATTTTTGCAATTTTTGACACCAGCATCCAGTGCAAACAATAACAGTGATGCTCTTCTGCAGACTAGCTTGATAGTCTCTTGGAGCTATGAAACAAGAGGTTTTATGAGAGTTTTAGTAGGTAAATATTATGCTTTATTTACTCAGAAGAACTATATAAACTCTGTATATTAGGTTTCTGAAGTATCTCTTTGCCAAAATCACAATAGAGGTGGATGTGTCTATTAGTTAATAGGGACGCTCAGTGATGTCCATACATGCGGTTCCCCCATTAAACAATTAGAACTTACAAATCTTACCAGGATAACTTTTGTCAGACCTCCTAGGAAGAACACATCTCTTTCTGAACATTTACATTAGATCTTCCCTTCAAATGACTTCAGTGTTATAGTGCAAGATAAAAGCATTTCAGACAAAGCTGGAGTTTCATAATGTGTTTCAGTGGTTGACTGGAAAGGAATGCAGAAAAGATCACATGGTAAGAGACAGACACAATAGAAGGTAAATCTAAACCGAAGTATATCCCTAAATAACACTGTAATAGGGGAAAACATCCCTTATTCATCTCTACCAGGTGTATTCTGCAGTGGAAAGACAGATTCCTTTCTTCATTTAAACATAGTTTGCACTGAAACTAAGTAAAATAAAAGTGTTAAGGTGCTCCAGGGTTTGTTTTACAGGCCCATTTATTCTAACCCTTTTTCATCACAAACATCAAAGGCATATATTAATAGACCAATAAAATATGTCCTGTCATGTTCAACAAGCAGTAAGACATCTGCTAAGTGAGACATCAATCACACGCAAGATGCTTGCAGGGTAACTGTGTTGCTGCTGAAGACTCATAATTTTACTGGCTTCTTTCCTACACAGATGGGAAAATAAAGATTGTTGAATCATCTCACTTATAGCTGAAACAGTGAGTGATCCTAATTGCAATTTTAAAAGACTCTGTATTGTTCTGACTGAGATTTAACTGATGTTTGCAGTGCCAAGTTGTCTGTGTGACAGGGCGGAATGAACTATGATATATCAGAATTAAAATGTAATGCAACGCATCTAGATATTTTTTATTTGAGAAACTTTAATTTATAGTAGTTCATGCATTTAATTCAAATAATTACTTTGTTCTGTTGTTTTGTAACTCAGTGGGTGGTAAGAAAAAGAATAGCGCATTTGAGTTTAATGGTGTATATTTCATTGGGAGAAATGAACTAGTTCAGTTGGATAAAAAAAAAATATGACAGTGGGATTCCTAAATATTTACGGTTGTCTTAGCTAACTACTACAAATGATTTACAAATAGCTTAAAAATAAAGAAGTATTTTATGGTATTTCTCTGCTAGATGTAAAAGAATTAAGCTCTGGTCCATAGTGGATGAGTTTTTCCTGAAGGTCGCCTGTGCATCTGAGAGAGTTTTATTTGCCTCCAATTCCTTTGTCAGTTTCTTACAAAGAAATTGTGCATACTGTTTTCCTGGAATGGAAACTATAGTTACTAGGCTCTTTTGGAGAGCCTTTCTTGCACATTGGAACTGTAATTGCCTGTTTCCAACTCTCTGGAATTTTTCCTGAAAAGCAGGGATCGGAATCAACCTGTAGGTTTTAGTCTGATTTCTCCAAATGACATTAGGATTGTTTCATTTACTTAGGTTTTCCAGTAGTCGCACAATGCTGAATTGAGGTATGGAAGGTTTAGGCAAAATTTGCAGAAGATAGTCTGTGTGTTTCATTTCCTGATCCTATACCATTGTTTCAAAGAATTAATCTAGAGTAGAACTAGTTGGCACAGTCTTAAACATATATGTTAAATTACATTTTCAAAAGTTGTTTCCTTTCCATTACCAGCCTTTTTCATTTTTATAACCCCTCTTAGTTGCTTCAAAGGGTTGGTTTTTTTTTCAAAATTGGGAGTAGAATAGAGTAGTGTTTTATAATACTCAAGAAACACTCTGAAATACTATTTTAAATGTGGTGGAGAGAATGTGACAACATAACTCTACAGATAATGTTAATCTAAAGTGCCAATCAGCCTTGGCCAGTATAGCCATTAATGGTGAACTGAAATGAGCTGCAGTCCAAAAATACTGGAGGATATGAACAGGGCACTGTAAGGGTTTACCACTTCAATCATCATTTTTCTATCAGATATGAGGCTCTACTAAACCTCTGTTGCCACTAAATGTGAAGACACCCACAAATTT